ATGCAAAATACAGTAGGTTAAAAAGAAATGAATGTGCAGTATGCTATCTAAAAGAGACAAGACAGTGACAAGTATTACATGCACGCACAATTTTGGATATACAGTAATTCATCACTAGCAGATTTGCATAATCCAGTTATTTCTGGCTTTCAGCAGCAACTCTCCTTTTGATGGTTGAGAAGGCCCTTTTTAGGGCCTTTAGGAGATGCTTCAGAACATTGATGAGTATGTACAAACTGTGTCTTTTTTCATATTATTAAAGCAGTCCTGTTTTTTCCAGCCTTTGCACAGACAGACGTAGATTGGAGTAGCTTCTAAAGCAGTTACACAAACCTGGAAAAATACATGGCTGCTTTAACAATTTGAAAAAGGGTGCCTTATGTGTGCTTCCATAAATACAATCCATTTATTACTCCAATAATTCAAATCAGACCTTTTCTCTCACAAATGTAAGCTGTTGTACAAATGCATAAAAAAGCACAAGTAAATAAAAATTCAAAAGGATGTTTTCCTTTTTCCTTTTATTGTTGAACTGAATGTTTGACAGAATGAATTAGAGAAAACTCACTGTTGGAGGGAAACATTGGATATCAAGTAGACCAAGTCTTTATTTCAATAGTATGAAGCAGCTCTGAAATCAGGATTAGATAACAAGGAATCTCTCCCAAAAAATGTAGATATGAAACACGCTTTAAACCTGGTATTAGATTTTGCTTATTAGTGTATTTTTTTCTCCCAGATGGAACAAAACACAAAGTTTCAATACTAAGTATACTCTTGTCCAAACATAAATAATAGTACATGGATGTACAGAAGGAGGGCAGGTTGATTGGTAACGCTTTGTATTTGTTTGGTTTTAACTCAAAAAAATGAAATAGAATGAAACAAAAGAGATGTACCTTCCAAACTTTTTCCTTAGGTTCTCATAGGGATTGATCCATTCTTTGACCAACGAAGCATCTGTGATCAAGATCTTTCTTCCAGATCATGTTAAGCATTTTTTGAGAAAATATTTCTGAACCCTACTCTTCTCTGCAATATTTTACCTCCTTAAACCTCTCTTCTGGTTTAAGGTGAACTGCTAGATAATTCAGATTTTATATCCTAACAGTAGCAAGTAGCTTTATCTTTGGAGCTCTGATTTGACCCAGCTGCCCAGATTTTTTAAAAAATTGATAAATAGAATAAGAACAGCAGGAATAAACATAACACCATCAGTTCAATTTAACTATGTGATAAAGTTGAAGCTAATTAGCATTTTAAAAGTAAGTACTGTAATGGTAACTGGGTTATAAAATGATACACTTTGAAGCACAAGCTCAGGCTCTTAAATTTGTCTTAATTACAATTGCCCCTTCATGGATCACTGCCTTGTCGTGGCGAAGGGGTTTGCATAACTCAGTGAAGCCATGAGCTATACCGTGCAGGGCCACCCAAGATGGACAGGTCA